GATTTGATTAAAATGCAGCTTATTTGAGAGACAGGAAATGTTTATTTTCCTAGACAACCAGACAAATCTCAACTGAGTTACACAGGATAAAACTTTTTTCACTACTAACTGTTATTCAACTAACATAACTAAGGGTATTCAATTGCTTAGTTTAAGCAGTCATTAAAAAAGTGACCAAAAATGCTCATTAGAAATATTGTGTACCTTTTGGTAAAAAGCCACATGGAATTTATCTCAAATGGTTTAGCAAGAATATGAAGATGGTAAGGTCGATAGAGCATCAAACTGACTGCAGTACCAAAAACTGTACACACCTTTGCAATGTCCGATGAAATTGACATCTGAAACATCCAATCCAACTTAAAGGTGTCATTATGCAACACATCCTAAGAAAAAATTAAGTTATGAAAACAGTGCACTTTTTTTAGTCTGAAAAAATAAGACCTCAAGACCCAGTTAAGTGCAAGATGTGCTGATAATGTGTCATTTCAAATCAGTTCTTATTTTACCTGGAGACTTCCTTTGTTGCAGTACTGGGTTAAGATACAAATGTTTTCAGGATCAATACAGGCACCAATGAACAGGTTGACATTTTGATGGTTGATATCCTTCATCTGAGTAAACAAAGACCTTTTCAACAGAAGTCTTATAGCAATTGTGAATTTATGAAATAAACATTTTTAACCTCACTTTGACAGCCTTCTATTGTTCAGATACATCTGATACATTCATCTGACTGAGAGTTTTAAAAGGGGTTTTTTGTTCTCAAAATAAAATGATAATGTAGAAGCTAGAAAAGGTGTTAAAATTAGGGAAGTAAAGACTTCAATTTGCTGTTTCACCTCTTTCAGTTCCAACAGCACTTTACGTTCCAGAGCAACTTTGGCCTTCTGTAATCTTTTGACTGCCACTAAATTCCCCTGTCAAGAGTAAGATAGTCCATAATTGACAAAGGTAACATTTGATGGGAAAAGTTTAACTATGTATGTTGTAAAGTAAAGACAAGGTTTTACCATGAAAGACTTAAGGTTTTAATAACCTGATTCCTAAATTAATACATCAAGTACAAGAGTGATATACAAAAATGAATAAAGAAGCTACATTAACTGATAAACTCCAAAGGCCTTCATGAAACTATTTAATTTAAAATTATGCTGGTTCCAAGTTTGCAGCATGTCACTAAGAGAGTTATTAGCATAAGGTATATTAATCACACAAAGTATTTTTGTTATAGTACATGTCGTTGCTGGACAACAATTAAACTCTACTGGTCTGTTATTTCACACACATGCCCATGGCCCCTAGCAATGAGCTGGCCTGTCATTCGTAAAATAGCAACACAGCTAGAGATGAAAATACAGGAAGCAGGAGGGACAGTACACAACAGTGTAGTTCTAATAACTAAATATTGCCTCAAAAGATGGATTCCTTGTTTGCTAGAAATAACAATCCCAAGATGAAAAATTTGATGAGTAAACAAACAAATTAGTATTTGTCACTGATGAGAAATAAAAACAAATTTTAAGAGAACCTCATAAATTCCAAGAAGAGTGAATATTTGTCCCCGAAACTCCTCAACAGAGCCATGCTCACTTCCTGCCATACTTTGCTGCAGGAAGAGTTAAGAAGAGTAATTTATTAGTCTAAATTAAGTATTGATGCTTAGATCTATGTTTAGACAATTTTGTAACATGGTCCAAGTTTTCTATGTTCTCTCTGTTCATTAAGATCTTTTAATTATACAAGAATGGTTGGAGAATAAAGTTGAAAGAAGTAGTCTTAGATGACTAGAAAATAATACAAATTTAAATAGGAATTGACATAGAGCATCAGTCATATAGACACTGACATACCATACTCTTTCTACTCCCTAGCTTTCTTTTATACTTTGGCCATTTTATGTCATCATATTTCACTTTCCATGTTTGAGCCAATAGTGATGCTTCAAAAGCTTGTTTCCTATTGAACACCAACAAAAACAAAGGCGAAAAAACAAAAAGAGATTTCAGAGACTGTTGTTAATATTTTGGTAGGTTTAAGTTCTATTCTATACCATTTCTCATCCAGGTAATCAAAGTTCATGAGAAGACAAATTTTATCTAAACACTTACAAGCTTACCTCTGCCACAATAAAAACCCCACTAAAATTGAAACAACTAAAACAAAGGTAAGACATCCTGCTAAGATGTATGGCCAAGTAGGATCCTCCTCTAGAAAATAAAAGTTGTAACCATTACAATTTAAATAAATGACCAACTTAAAAGCGTGATTATGTTGGAGATGTTAACTTCACTTTGTGGTGCACTGTTATTATAACCCTCTGGGCCCAGTTTTTTTCAAAGGCTGATTAGTTCTAACCCAGGGTTAAATTTTAATCCAGGTTTCTTTATTTCTTTGTTCAAAAACCTTTAAGGGAAAATTTTCTCTATTCTTTTTAGGAAATCTAATGATCAAATTGCAAGCAAAAAGATTTGAACTGAATTTTCTTTTAAAGCTTTCAGACCTGAAATCAAATTTCACACTAACCCTGTGTTATCTTAATCCAGTTTTGAACAACCTGGGCCTGGTCTTTTGACAGTAC